CTTCATAGTTTTGCTCTGTGTGAAGCACTCGATTTCTCCTCATTTTTCTGTAGGTTGCCCTTGTTTTGTTGCCTGCCAATGCATGCGAAAACTTTGCCAGTAGATTTTTGAAAGGTTTCTGGATGCGAAGCGGCGCTTTAATTGCATTTTGCCGCGTTGCCCCGCCGCCTTCGTGCTGACCCAGCTCTCCAGCTCGCCTTTCTTAGTTTTATTCCTGGCTGGATTGCTTTAAATAATGCAGCGCATTGTCTAAACTGCAGGTGAATGCGCCATGGCCACGCCCCTTAAATGCCGGCCATAAAACGCCCCCTACCAACGGCAGCTTCCACCCAGATATAGTAGATTTTCTCTCGCCTTGCTCAATTTTTATGACATAAAAGCGCCGAGACTGCCATTAAAGAAAAGTGTAGCACGCTTCTCGGCGCCTCCGTGGAGTGGGTCGAAATGGCCACGGAGATTTTTTCAGAAGATCTCGCGCAGCAAGAAATTTTCCAACACATTTGGCAAGCGAATGGGGCCGAGGCGTATCTGGGGAATCGGTTTGTTTTGGCCAACGCAGTTGGCCCTTTTTGCCCGAGTCATTTTCATTTTCGTTTCCATTTTGCCTTCGCTGCCTTCGCTCCTGTTGTTGTCCTTGCGCAAATAATTTCCCTTATAAAGGATTTTCAACGCATCTTATGCTTGCTGTTTGCACTCTCGCAATATGTTTGCCGGCAGTTTGTTTTTGTTCACTGCCCAAGAAATATATATTATATTCTTTGCCTGTCGGTGCGTATATATAGCTTTCTACAGTTGCATTCAAATGAATAGCTCTGGAATTCTGGCAGCGACTATAAAAGTTGCCAGGGAAAATTTTAGATTGCTGAAATTTCCTTTTATCTTGTTTATTGTTTGCCATAAAATAGGTAAGAAAGCTATGAAGGTCGTTTTTTCTGCGCTTATAAAACAAAAATTTTTATTAATTTTATTAAGGCTAATATGGACTTAATTTTAAGGTAGAAAGAGCTTTATTGAAATTATTAAAATTGAAGTCATCTCATTAAATTAAAGATGGCTGTAGTTGTTGCTAGATTTTCGATACCTTTTGTATTTTAATCAAAAGGAGTCGCCGGATGCTCTTGTAAGTAGTTTACGCGCATTTAAAAAGGAGGAGCCTCGGCAGCAGGAGTCTGTAAGCTGGGAGGAAGCTGCCAAGGCAAAGGAGCCAGGGGATGTGTGCAGGGATTCGAAGCCGAGACAAGGAAATGAATGTTTCGCAGGCCGGCGGAACGTGCAACTGCAACAACAACAACAACAGCAACAACAGCAGCAGCAGCAGCAGTAAATGTTTCTGCTGCCACTACCTTACGCTGCACTTCGTTGGTCCATTTGGGTTGCAGTTGCATTGGGCATTGTTTGCCCGTTTCACAGCCAAAATGAAACTCAAATCAACTCGTGCATTTCTAATGCGAATTTATATGTTTTAACCCGTCGCTGCCATCAAAATGGCAACTGCTTTCTGACATGTCCGGCTAGTAAAATTTGTGCCCTTATTGAAATGAGCCAAAATGTACACAATGTTTGCTGTGGACCCAATAATGTTGCAGCTGTAAAAGGGCGAGCGATCACTGAGAGAAACAAATAGTATAGAAGATATCATTTTAGAAAGAGGTTTAGGTTTACATCATTTGTCTTCATTTTTCCATAGTAACCTAAACTATTATTTAATTAAATTTTGGAATATAGTAAGCTGGCAATGACTTAACTTTTATTTTAATTTGGAAACATTTTGATAGCGAGATAAGATCGGTGTTAAAGTGACCACTGCAGATGGTTTTTGTGACAATATTTTCTCCGTGTGGCGATTGGGGGAAATGGAATCGCAATTCCAATCGGAATCCGTGTACGTTTACGTATCTCAATCCCTGCTCAGCCACTATAATTTCTTTTTTGCTGCTTTTCCCACTTCGCCCTTCTCCCTTTTCCATTTTCCATTTTCCCTTTTCCAGACCCCCTGAGCTGCCTCGGCAGATTGCCAGACTCCCTCGGAGTCTCGAGTCAGTTTGTCAGCTTGTCAGCACATCGGAGGAGTGCCGGGGAAATGGGAAAGGCGGCGGGGAAAGCTGAGCTCACATAGCCTCGGCCATGGCTTGCTTTTGTTACTCATTTATTTTGATTTGTTTACCATTGCGATTTATATTTCTTCGTCTCGCTCAGCAGAATAGCTCAAGATGGGGGAAAAAGGCGGGGGAAGCGAGCGTGCAGAGCAATAAAATTAAGCTCGGATTTATTGACCCATTTCAGTTTGACTTGCTGCCATTTTCCTTAACCCCTCTCTTTCGGTACTCTTTGTTATGCATGGCAACTAAATTAAAATGTTTTTACTAATCCAGACAAGTTACTCTTTTAATTACTTTTTCTTCTCAAATGAACAAAGCCGCATGGGGCAAAAGGATTCGCCTCCGACCTGAAGTCCTCCCGAATTCACTTTGTTTACATTTTCTCTGCTTCGATTTTTACCTAATTTGCCAACTAACCGAAAAAGCCAGAAATCTATACAGCAGGGAATCGATCCAATTCAAGAGTGGATTTCAAATTTAACAATATTTTTATCCACATGGCTTGGCTAATTGAATCCTGTAACGAAATACAATTGAAGAGCTACGAAGCTCTGCAGAAAATATTTGCTTTGTTTAAGATATTGTTGTTATTTTTTGCATCTTTCCCTAGATGTACCTAGACCAAAGGCAATTAAATAAATGAAGGCTTTTGTTTGCGCTTGGCTTGTCAAATTTCGGATTTATTTGTTGCTCCTTTTGTGACCCTTTGTTGGGAGTGTATTACGAGCAGCCATGCATCGCAGCCAACTACAAAAGGCGTTAATTAAATATTTTCGCTCAAAGACAAGGCGGCAACCAATTACAATAGTCGACAACTGCGCGACTTGCCAACGACAATGGGAGTGTTTTATTCCCAACAAAAATCTCATTAATTGGCAGCGCAAAAGAGCAGTAGCGAAATCGGAGGTAGAAAAAATATATATTAATAGATAATCAATATTAAGTAGGATTCCAAATAATCGGTGTTATATTAAGATTCATAATTTGATTACTATATTTTTACTCTTACAAAAAGTATTTTTACTACATTTAGATGACCTACAATTATTCGCAGTGCAGAAACAATTTGAGAGGAGTTAACTGACAAGTGTTAGGTGAAAACCGAGTTGCCTTTTCAACACAGCGCCACTCGAGCTATAGCCACCCGATCCGCTCCCCATTGTTGCCGTTTTGCATGGCAAACTATTTCGAATGGCGGCTAATGCGATTAGCAAATCGAAGGGTTGTCGATTGAAATTCAAGTGGCTGTCGCAATTAATTAATTTCATTGTGCGCGGTAGCGAGTTGCCGCTCGCGGCGATGAGCTGTCAGGTGTTTATTCGATACGCTTTCGGGTTCAGAGTGCACCGACTGAGCTCCTCGAATCTCCATGCCGATGACACTCATTAACATAAAACGCAAAGGTGGCCGCAACCCATAAAGCCAGCTCACTTTTCGCACTCATTAAAACGGCGTTGGCTTTTGGGTTCGCTGTGTTCTCGGTATGGGTCACTGTCCGGATGTCTTATCTTTTCAAAGGGGAAATGGGAGGACGGGCGGAATGAGAAGGTTCTCGGAGGGTTATCAACCCATTTTACAGCTGACGTCAGCAGCGGCACTCAAATTTCGGCGACACAAGTAAACCCTTTTCGCAGCCTCGAAAGCATTTAAATGTAATCTATTATCTTAATTCCAACACAAATTGTTTGGATCCAGCCACGTCCGCGTCTTGGTCGCGGCATTCGTCCTTGTGGGGGCTCTTAACCCGGCTAACGAAAATAAAAGCCCATTTACAAGCCCACTGCCACTGCCATTGCCTCAGTCCCAGTAGCAGTCACAGTCACAGTCAAGGACTTGAGCCTGAGCCGGCTGGCAATTCAAATGCCAGGACTCTGGACAAGGACAGCCGGCGAGCGCTGAAAAGCAAAGCTTATCGGCCGCAACGTAAATCACCCAATTTACCATAAATAAAGATACGTACATATTGTCAGCCGCTTTGGGGATGGAGTGGCTGGTTGCTTGGCTTTTCGGTGGTTTCTCAATGGTTTCGGATGCCTTTGGGTGGTGCGGGCTGAAACCACAAGCGCGGCCACCGTGGAAAGCCAAATGCCAGAAGAGCCGAAACAAAACACCTTATCGCGGGCAGGCACATCTTTAAGTGGCTGTCAACGGAAGTGGCGGGTGGGGGAAATAGAGGGGGTGGTGCCACCACAGGCAGTGCGGAGTGGTGCGATGATAGTGGGGCAAGGACTGGGGGCAACTACACCATTTGGCCGAACATAAATCTGCATGAACTGAACCGAGTAAACAAGCAAAGGTGCTGCCAGCGATATAAATAAATAGCCGTCGAGTCGATGGGGGGAATCCCCAAAATTACGAGCAATAATAGCTTAAATACTGTATAAATAAACAGCAATAATAGTAAGCTTAAGTGCTCGACAAATCAGAAATCACTGTGGAATTTAGTAGCTGCAGCTGTGGAAAAAATAAAATGGGTTTTTAGAGTTGTAAAAAAATAATTATAAGATTTTATTTCTTTTGCAGTACTATTTTATTTTTAAGTATAATAAATTTTTTGGTACTTAATTTTTTTAAATAGCTAGAAAAATTTCCAAAAACCCATTCAGTTTAGCTATAAACTATGCACTGCTCCCAACTCTGCTGCAGTTGCTGTCTGCCGCATTTGATCCAGGGCAAATTCCCTTCGGCTCTTGGCCATTACTCTCATGATCAGGCAGCAGTTGGTTGGGAATGGGAATGTGGGTGTGGGTGTGGACGGGTTGGGGATGTAGGAGGCTAGTCCGCATCTTGGCAGGGGCTTGCCAGCCGTAGATTTACTTTACAAAAGCAACATTTTGCCAGTTGCGACACGCCACTCACCAGTGTCACCATCTAACCGGCTTGCCATCTACTCTTTTGCAGGCACATCAACTGGAGTGGGAGGACCAGGACCAGGAACAGGACCAAAAGGAGGAGAGGAACCAGCCACAGTACCGGCAACCCAAAAGACGACAGCAGCAAATCGCGATTATGACGATGATGACGAGCACAACGACAAGGATGAGAGTCACGACAACAAACCCAACGACTTGGCTAAAAGGGAGCAGGACAAGGACAAGGAGCAGCAGCAGCAGCAGCAGGAGGGGAAGAGGGAGGGCTTTTCGGTTCAGGAGAAGAAGGATGCGATTGCTAAGCCTGCGGCAAGTCAAAAGCGTGCAGCACAAACGACACAATCGCGAAATCCCATCAGACGGGCGCACAGTGAACGGCATTTGTCGACCGCGCCTTTAGCCGCCCACGCCCACGCCCATGCCAACGGCCACGCCTCCTTGGGCCCCTCGAGCGCCGGCAGAAATTGCCACTCCATCCCGACGACTCCAGCCAGTGGGCCGCAGAATGTCATTTTAAATTTTAAGGACACAATGGCGCTGCGCATAAAAAGCAACCGCAGCGACTCGAGAGATTTATTTCAAAGGAGGCCCACGGAGCCGCCGCCCCCGCCTCCAAGTGGAGGAGGAGCCGGCAAAGGATTAGAGTCGCTGCCGCACGAAATCAATAAGTCGCCTCTGTCGCCTCAAAGGACGGTGGTGCGGGTGGCTCCATTTAAGCCACCGCAGCAGCAGGTGGGTGGATCTGAGGGTCTCACCCACGAGGTGCATCGCCTCAAGATTTCACACAGCGAAGAGGATTCTGATTTGGGAGTGGAACTCCGAAGGAAATCGAACCTATTTGTTACCTCCCCCGATGAGGAGGATGCGGCCCCGAAGAAGACCTCCATTCTGATCAGCGGCGATGATTGCTACTCCACGATGAACCTGAGTGCGGATGCAGCCCAACCCCTGTACCAATCCTCCGTAGTGGTGAATAGCCACTCGGCCACGAGTGTGTGCATCAATGTGAGCAGCGCCGAGGAGCAGGAGCAGGAGCTCAACCAACTGAACACGCTGCGCAGCCAGCAGATGGGCATGGGCATCGCCATTATTCCGATCAGGGGCGCCAGCGAGGTGAACCTGCAGCGATCGGTGTCCTGCATCTCCTCCACTTCGAGCAGCTCCACCTCGAGCAGCGGCAGTTCCAGTGGCCGGGGAAGGACCCTCATCCGCTTGGACTACGAGAGGGAGAGGAAGGGCTCCGCCACCAGCAGCACACCCATAAACACGCCGCCCGTTATAAGTTCCACGCCAGCTACGCCACCTCCCCCGGAGTCCCCTAGCCAGAATCCCCTAGTTCCCCACGAAACGGAGCTCCTGAAGATCCTCCGCAATCCCGTGGAGGCAGTGAAGCTCAATCTAGTGCCGCATGTCTGTGGCCTGCGAGCTCCTTCGCGGGAGGCGGGGAAAACCAAGAAGGGCGAGGAGGTGGCAGGTACTCCGCCCAAGGAGCCCGGTTTCATAGCCAAGCTGCTGCAGGATCCGATGCTGGGCCAGGTGGCCGAGGGACTGGAGACCGAGACGGTGGCGGAACTCATCGAGAACTCGCTGCAGAGACTCCAGCAGACGCGGCGGGGAATCGACATGAGCGGCACCAAAGACCACGACGACATGAACCGCCTGATCAGCGCCTCGCTGCAGCGCATCCGCTTGGAGAGGCAGCCGGTGGTCAATGGCGATGGTAGTGCAACCAAAGAGGAGGACCGCATGTCCAACCGGGGCAGCATCAGTTCCGCCAACAGCTTCGCCTCGGCCCACAACTACGAGCTCTTCGACTTCGATGGCGGAGCGGGGGGCAATGAATCTGATTGTTATCAGAGTTGCTCCAGCGAACTGACAGCCTCTGGTGTCCTGGAGGAGGAGCCTGTAGCGCCCATCAAGGACCCTGAAACCGAACTGGATCCTGCCACGCGGGCCAAGTTCTATCAGCTCCTGGTGGATGCCACGCTGGCCGAGATCGAGCACTCCACTCATGTGGATCAGGACTTGGGAGCTGACACAGAACACCACTACGAATCCATAAGGCACAGTGGAGATCCCATTTACGAGGAGATCCACGAGGTCCCTCCGCCACTGCCACTCTCCGCTCCTCCCTTAAATGATGCAGAGCTCGACAAGAAGGCTGCCCGCTCCATATTCGAGGGAGCCTCCAAGTATGATATCCTATCCTACTTGGTGGATGCCAAGGAGCGTGGTTTGGCCAGGGAAGAGAGCTTTGACTATGGCAACAACCCCAAGATTATCGAGGAGGAAGCAGCCGATACCCTGAGTGACTTGGATAAGAGACAGGCGGAGGAGCGGGAAAGGGAGAGGGACAGTGGCCAGAGTAGCATGAGTTCCCTATCGCCACCACCGCACAACTTCATCTGCGGAGGAGGAAAGTCCTCGGGAAGCGATGTCGAACGCCAGGACTCGGGAGTGGGTTCGGAGACCAGCAAGACGTCCCGCAGCAAGTACCAGGCCACGCCCACAGTGCTCCACCTGTGCGAGGATTGCGATGGAGCCGTGGAAATGCAGGTGGGCGACGGCGGAGTCCTCTACGCTCCGCTGGTGTGCAGGAAGTGCGGCAAGAAGCGCGTGGAGCGCAAGGAAATCATCACGGAGATCGTGGAGACCGAGGAGAAGTACGGCAGGGATCTGCAGATCATACTGGAGGAGTTCTGCCACCCGATGCTGGTGGCCGGCCTGCTCACCCAGGAGCAGCTCTCCGCGATCTTCCTCAACACGGAAGATCTGCTCGAGAACAACCAGACGCTGGCCGAGCGGATGCGCGACGCCTTGGACATTTCGCTGGAGCAGGGCGACGACGACCTGCTGACGGTGAACATTGGGCGCATCTTCCTCGACTTCACCCAGATGCTGCACGCCTTCGAGAGCTACTGCGTCCGCCAGGCGGGCGCCAGCCTCCTGCTGGCCAATCTCGAGAAGGAGAAGGAGCTGCTGCGCATCTTCCTCAAGGTCTCGCAGATGGAGAACGCCGTGCTGCGGCGCATGAACCTCAACTCCTTTTTGATGGTGGGTTTTAGAAACCTTTCCAGCGTTTTATATACCTATTAACCGATATTTTTTTTACCAGGTTCCCGTTCAGCGTGTGACAAAGTATCCCCTCCTGCTGGCCCGCCTCTACAAGGTCACACCCGCCCACCTGGAAGGCCGCGATCTGCTCAAGCAAGCCCAGGAGAAGATCGAGCTGCACCTGAACCACATCAACCAGGAGGCCAAGGACGTGCCCACCAAGCTGTGGCGCCGCATCAGCTCCTCCAGTCCGAACAGGCGCGCCTCCTGCGAAATCGACATGATCAACATCAAGTTGCGCAAGATGGCCATCGATGTGCTGGAGTGGAACCACGACGAGGTGAGGTTCGCCATGGAGGGACGACTGCTCTACACGCAGCCCACGGACAGCAACTGGAAGAAGGCGCGCACCATCAAGTTGACCCCGGTCAATGCTCTTTTGGTAACCAATGGCAAGGTGAGTCCTGAAGTTAAAGCCATTTAATATCAACGAAACCAATAATAAGCTAAAACAAAAGTTTTGAACTTTCCTATTGGTGAATTGATATGAGGTAAGTATTAGATCTAAAAACCGTTCATTACCAATGATATACAACATATTCGTAAATATACATAGAACATACTATATGGAAAACATTCTGGTTTTTTGGTATATTTAGAATATATATGGTATATATATGATGCACAGTCTTGTCGACAGTTTCCTTACCACTTTTCTTGCTGGCGATGACCAAAATTGGTTCCCTGAATTTTCCTTAGTTCAATCCCTCTCCTTTGCTTGGTGGAGAACCTCTTGTAGTACCTATCCTTCTGCCCTTTTTCCCCCTCACCCAGCAACAATTGACAGGCATCAAGGAACGTGGGCGTTTGACACGGGCCAAGATGGAAGATGGCGATGCCAAGGCAATTAGCGAACGACGCCATCCAGATGCCCACTAACCCGTGCGGCGGAGCTGTCCGGAGCTGTCTCGGCTTTTCCGGCTGCCATGGCAACACTTTTCCGTGCGATAAAAGATTTCAACAAATCAGAGGCGAGCCCATTGAACCGGCACCACATCCACCCAGCGAAACACCCACTACAACCCGGTTTCGTTCTGGGTTTCTCTCCTAATGAAAAGTGCTTATCCCAGCAACTATCTCGGGTCCCAAAAACAAAACGATTTTAGCTGGGGCTTAAAAAAAGGAAAGGAAAGTGGCATCCTGCCAGGGGTTTCGGATCGGAGGCGTAATCGGCATACGGACGCAGTGCGTATGTCACATGTTTTGTTTGGTTTTTCTGCTCCAATCGGGGTTTTTTTTTTAGTTTTCCAGGCACCCTGCTCTAAATTTCTAGTCCGGCCTCGACCGCCGACAATTGCTCAATTCAAGAACAGTGACCATCCAGTTCGTTGCCTGGTCCACTTTTTTCTGCAAGTGCTGCTCTCGTGGCTCCAGTTGCTTCTTGGTGTCGCTTCCTGCGGCACTTTCTCGGGCTGACACGCTTTGTGCGTTTGCCAGAGCCTTATCTAGGATAGTCTAGCCACACTGGGAAAATAACCAGAAGGTTTCCAGGGATTAGAAAGACTGAGTCTTTAAGAGATTCTACTTTAGTATCTAATGAGATATTACAAAAGCTTAAGCATAATAATATTCCTTCGAATCTAAATATCTTTATACAGGTTTAGGTTTTCTTATAAATATATTAAGAGTCTTGGTTTGGTTTAAATCCTTAGATATTCTAATGTAAGAAAACAAAGTTCTTAAGTATTTAACATTTCTGTCTTGTTTAAAGTTTTTATCGTATAATATACATACCACTTTCTCTCTGTGCCATTTCACCCACCCACTTTTAGTTGTAATTTTGTTTAGTTTCGTTTTACACAATTTTCAATGTTTTTTCTTATTCTGCTCCTTTATTTCCATTGTCGCCGCTTTCGGACCGTTTTTCTTTTTTGTGCCACACCAAACGACATCGACGACAACTAAACCTGAAACAACGGCGACCGTACAACAACAGCCAAGTGCCAATTACAGGGCAGAGAAGGCCATGTCGGAAAAACTGAATTTCCCGAAGCACACGGGTATCCGCGAGGCCTCTCTGCTTCTGGTGAAGGAGAAGTGCGGACGGTACACGCTGATCCGGGAACCGCTCTATCTGGACAGATGTGTCGTGTGCAGCGAAGCGGATTGGGATGATTATTTCGAAGTGCAGGAAATTTCATCGAAGGACACATTCATATTCAAAGTGAGTACGAGCCGGAGTATCGGTATCGGCAGTCGAGCAGCCGGCCCTTTTGTTTTCCACTCCAGCTGGCCAAGCCAATTCAGTCCGCAGTCCGTAGTCCATAGTTTTGTTCTCGTTCAGTTGGCTTTTGAATTAGTGAGTGCCGGCCTTTTGACTGCACATCGCCCAGTGTTTGGGCTTCGTTAGTTTCCAGCTTAGTGTGGTGGTCATCGCTTTTCAGCGGGATGGGAATGATATTTTTTAGCCTTTTTTTCTGGCCGAGAAGTGCGGTTAATAGAGCAGCGCAACAGGATAGCCAACCTCGAAATGGTGTGTTTTCAAAACATATGGAACAAGATGAACAAGTTCGAGTTAAAAGATATTTTAAAGAATATGTAGAAAAATGATTTAATAATCCTTTGGTAATTTAGACTTGACAATGGATTGGACTTGATTCAAAATGGAAAATAGATAATTTGAGGTATGCAAAGCAAAACGAAAAAGCAAGCTGAATCAGCTTAAAGTGCTTTCCGCAGAATCATCGTGGAATGTAATAAAAGTCATCCCTGGATAGCTCCTCCATTCACACTTACATGCTCATAACCTTTTCTAGAGGGGATAGAAAATTCCTTGAGCTGGGGAACAAGGAAGCGTCAGCACAATGAAGAGTTTACCTTTTCCCGAGAAAAGTAAAGCAATTTTAATAACAGACAGAGCGCAAAAAGCGTATGCAAAAATCCATTCCGAATCTTTGCTCGTCTAATGCTTGTAGCATCATCCGACCAGCCATCCAGATTTTAGTCATGCAAATTTCCATTTTTTTTATTTATTTTTTTTTTTTTGCGCTGTTCAGGCTCGGCTAAGCCATTGAAGGATGGGAGCGGGTCCTGTTTGGGACCCGCAGGCGGGGATCCTTTCAGACGCGCTCAGGCAGCGCACGTAGAGCGGCTGCCAAAATGAATGACATTTATTGAAATACGTTATATAAAGAACGAAAGAAAAACGCACGGGAGCGCAACAAAATGGCTGCGTGAACGTCGCGGTGGGAAAAAGGGCGAAAAAGAGACAGCCAGACTCTGGGACAATGCTAGACAGACAGATTCGGTACAGGAAACAGTTAACAAAAAAAAAAAACATTTTTCAATCCCTTTTAACAAATTAATTTCCATTATAAAGAGTTTTTACATCGAAATTAATTGAAGTGGTAGTCCTTTTTGTCTCGTGAAAAGTAACCCAATACTTTGAATATTTTTTCTAGGTTTTTAGGTTGTTTTTAAAGTTAGTTGTGATTTTTCTTATTTTTAAGTTGTTAAAAAATATCAAAAGAGTTAAGAAGAATTCAGTTTCCTTATATTTTGATGAGTGTAGTCTGTTTGAGGCCGGCGGCGCATAAATTGAAACGTTTAGTTCCGGCCAACTGAGCGGCTGACAAACGCCCGCACACTCCCATACTCAAGCACACTCTTGCGCACACACACACACACGTGCGTACACGCACTCCACGGGTCCTGTCAAAATGACAACCTTGCTGGGTGGTAAAATTCAGGGGGATAGCGGGGGATTGGGGGTACTGGGTAGGGGGTTGGGGGTCAGGCGGACCAGTCAATCAAATACGTCTAACGGGTTTACACGCCGCTTTATTTATTCGCAGGCGGAGGACGGCGTGCGGACGAAGCAGTGGTACACACAGCTGCAGTACCACGCCCAAGGGATGGGGGCGTGGCGAAAGAGGCGCAACGCCCTGGCCAACATCATGATCAACGGGATGCTGGCGCGTAGTTAGCCGAGTTAGCCCTTCCCAAATGCAAGCCCGGAGCCAATCGAAAACCATCCGCAGGACACCGGACACCGAATAGTTGGACAAAGGACATAAAACTCAACAATTGGTTATGCATTTAATGTGTATTTATGCGCTATTAACCAACGAGCAATTTCGTATCGTAATTATAATTTAAGTGATATACAATTGAATCGAGCACGCATAACGCTAGTTAGTGTTTACATAATACCTATATCGATATCTATACCTACACCTATACTATGCATAACCATACGTACACACACGATTACCCTGAATACAATGCAATAAAATACCATACACTAATTAAACACTTCAAATGGCGCAATAATTGAGAGGCTATTTGTTTTTGGGCCTGCTTCATAAATTCTGCTTGTGGCATGTCTATTGAATCCACCTGGCCCAATCTGCACGAGGAGGAGCTTCACAATAAATCTCACGTTGCTGAATTATTTTTAAATTTGGCCCAGAGATTTATGGCCAGACGGCAAATTATATAGGGAACCAAGGCACGCACGTGGCCCAGACTAAGTCCAAAACAATCACAATCACAGTCCCTGCCGAAAAGTGCTCGGCAGAAACCATAAAGCATTGAAATATTTTCGGAATTATAACAGGCCATTGAGTGCGGGCGAGTTGATTAAACCATTTTAAATCCCATGAACTCATATTTGGCCAGCAACAAAAGCACTCAAGTGGCAAGGGTCTGGGCTTTGTTGTTTGTTTAATTACACAAACAACAGGGCAGATTATTATGGTTAAACACGAAACGGTAATTGTTATGGCCAGCAATTGCTGCGACAATTGTAATGGCCAAATACGAAAATAAATAAGTGGACAAGCTTTAGTTGTCGGGACCTGTACTATATATCTGTATCTGCGGTTACCTCTGGTTTAGAACACTAATCTATGGATATATTCTGCTAATGGATTTTGGTAATATAATTCTGTGCATGCAACAAAAACGTGAATTTTCACAAGTAAATAGCACATCAAAATTGAAATAACTTGTTATTTAAAGATATCATCAAACCATATAAAATGCTAATACTTAGTTTTAATAAAAGGACTTATACATATATACTCTTTTAATTTATATAATATTTTCGTTTTGTGTAGCATACATTTCCGGGCTGCGTAAAGCTGTAGTTATTAACTTTTCATTAGTTTATTAAGCCATTGAACTTTATTACAGCCTGTGCTGTTTAGCTAGATTCCAATTCCAGACATTCAACATGCCAAATTGTTTAGTGGAAACACTCGACCTCGTCTGCTTTCTGTTTTCCCTGCGGTTAGCCCACATAAACAACAACACTGCGGACACGTTGAAATTAGTTCGGTTAAGGCAATGGGAAAATGATTTCCAGACTCGCCTGCGGCGCATCAAAGCCTTTGATGGCTTCCGCTGTAAATTATACTAATACGCCACGTAAACAAGTTCCAAATCCTTTAAAGCTCCGCAAGAAGGCAAAACTAGGGAAAATTGAAAAGCGCCGGCAGAGGCGACGCTCTGAGGAAAATATTGTAGCCAGTGCTTCTCTAGCCACGGCAAAGGCAAAGGGAAACTGCATGCTGAGCGCAATTATGCTGGACAAACATTTACTAGTCAGGCGGAGCAACCAAGACTGTTACACAGAGAGAAATTTGAATACCATTTAACAGCAGGAGGTGTAGAAAATAATCAATATGATATTAAGAAAGCAAGTTGGTTATTAAACTTGTCCTCTTACTATATTAATTTAATTACCTTACAATCATAATTTAAATGAAACCCTTTGACTTAGTTACTAATTCGTTTAGTTTGTAATTTTTACTGGAATTGTATCAATTTGTTTTTGAATTTGGAATGGTCTGTTGTTTTCTCTGTGCAGCAGGTGGAAATGGGTTTGGAGGTCGGTACTTAGCATGCACCTTGGCACATACACTCAGAACCCTTTCGATGCCACTACGCTCAGTGTTCAGCTCCGATGCTTGCCAAACACAGACTGAGCCAGAGACTCTGGCCCAAGTCAGCTGGAGATGTTGACTAGGTCGTGAACGTGTTATAACAATAGGGTGTCGCGATGGCGGGCAGAGGGATGTGGGGATGCGAGGAAGTGGGGAGGCTGGCAGGCAGGCAGGCTGGCAGGCTGGCAGGATGCGAAAAGCAGCGCCACTAGCTAGCGACTAACACTAACGAGCAGTTAAACAAGCTTAAGATTTGCCGACGCAAATAAAAACACAGCCGGAGTCCCGGAGCAGGAAAGCCACCCGGCTGAGCCCTCCAATCCAACGGTTCCGACCAATCCCGCCCAGAAACGGCTGCCAAGCGGAACGGCAACGGAAGTACGGATCGGCGTGCAATAACATAACCAAGGCACGTAGCACAAACACGGTACATTATATTGTATAAGCAGACTTCATTACGGTATTTAAACAGAATATCCACAAATTCTGACATGCCAACTGGGCACCGTGGATCGAAAAGCCAAACAGCTTACTAATAAATATCGAATAGCTATCATTTGACTCATGGCTACCATTAAAAGAAATCCCTAACTGAGTTATCCATACGAAAAAACAATACACGGCGAAAACAACTGAAAATGTTGAAAACGTATTCCATTGAATATCGTTTCGTACGACTTTTTGAAGCCAACGAGGTGTCTGAATTTCAGCTGAATCCATACAAAAGAAAACATTTCGGGTCGAAGTCTTAATAAAAAAAGTAGTTTATTATTTTCCCTGTTTAATTGCTCTACCGCTGGAAAAATTCAGCACTTTTCTGTGGCTGACTTTCGATGATATCGTTTCAGGCGCCACAAATCAAATTATTTGCTTTCATAAATTCGATGTTATTGCTTTATAATTTCGGGTTCGATAATTAAAGCTGCGCCGCACCTGGCCGAGAAAGAGAGCTCTCCCCCGTTCGAATTCAATATCAATTTAAAATGGAACCAACATACATAAGTGGCAATGTTATTGGAAAACTTGCCGAACTCCAAACATTTTGGCAGCGAAACTTTTGCATTTCACCCATGGTGCTTGAGGGCGTGCCAATATCCACATACCCGCATCAAAAGTCGAATTGCGAGCAGTGGAGCAAGTCGAAGGCGAACTATCTGAGGACCGCAAGTCGGTCGGTTCGCCCGAACATTCCCTTTCCGTCCCACTGAGCATCTTGTAAAAAATGCATCACGTACTGCGAAGGTTGGCGTCTGATTCTCGATGCCTGATGCCTGGCAATGTGATTAGACCCCAGGCACACTGGATGCACTAACTTTTCCGGAGAAGCGGGATCCCACACAGAACGGGCACGAATGCGGCATATGCTGCCTCCGACCAAAACTACGGATGGGCAATAAAAATTTGTCGCCAGGCCAATAAATGTGGAGCAACTCCAAAAGCCAAGAAGCCCCGGCGCGGAAAAACTAACCGAAAAAACCATTCCATTGCTGTATTTAAAATGCCGCAAAACTTGCACACCACAGAACCAGAAACAAAAAAGGGACACAATGGAAAAACAGGTGAGACAAGCTGACTCTGGGTCATGTCCCCTTGCTTTCCCCCTCAGCTGCTCCTATTTTGACCGTGCTCAACAAGATTTGAAGTAATAAAAAATTGAAATTAAAAGTTCCACTTCAGTTGCCCACTTGGCCGGTAACCGCGAATGGCGACACAGTTTTCACACGAAATAGGTCGTAAAAATTATGAGAAAATCCGCGGTTTAAGGTGAGCTGGCGAGAATTGCCAGATATGACAACTTTTTAAGGCTATTATTATTAGCGAGGAAGTTTTGGGGGAAGTGCCATTTATAGCGATACACTTTTAGCTTATATTCATTTCGATAATACAACTCATTGTTGGAAAAATGAAGATTTTTTCCTGCTTTAAAATATCTATACCCAACGAAGTAAAAATGTTGCATATTTTACGACATTGAAAAAAGTTAATACTCATTTTTTTTATAAGTTTTCTATGAAATGCTCTTTTCAGGTTTTTTAGACAACATCTCTGATCCGTTCTTAGGTAAACTTGCTCTACTAATACCGCCCACCACCCCCTCCTTTTCTATCCACTTCAGCTGGCTGCTCAATGAGGTCAATGGGCAGGCATTTCATTTCCATAATTTTCATTATTTCGCGTTTAGAGCAAATCAAACAAATCGTTCTACGGAAACAAAAGAAATTTTAATTGTTCGGCGGCCTTGTCAGTTTCCTGTCTCCGTGTTGGTGCAGCGTGTGGATGTTTGGGTGTGTGGATCTAATCAAAATTGCTGTGCACACACATTCAGCATATTTCACACATCGTAGCCGACGGAGAGCACATAAGAATAATGTGCGACACGTTCGGGCATAAACCGAATTAAGTATACGCCGCGTTTGCCAGTCAGCCAGGCGGGCAGGCAGCCAGGCAGTCAGGACCTAGTACGGGCCGGAGTCGTAGAGCCGGAGTGTCGGAGTGTCGGAGTGCCGGAGTCCGAGCCGCAAAACCAACCGCACACACACACATACGTAAACACACTTTACGCAAAGTCGCATTTTTATGCGTTGTAGCTGCTCCAAAGTGGCAAGCAAACACCCCCGCCCACAATCCACGCCCCCCGGCAGCATGTGCTAAATATGTACGAAAAAAAAGAATAAAATCAAAAAAAAAAAAAAAAAAAGAAAATGTGGCAAAAAGTTTTTGTGCGCACGCCGTGGAAAGGCCAACGTCTAAGTGAATTTGCCATAGTCAAATTTGGTGCGGCTTGCCTTAGGTCAGGTCTGCGAACTACGGCTCACGGGTTACGGAATAGGGAATACGGAATATGGAGTACGGAATACCGAACATCGAATACGGACTCGAATTTTCCAAGCAAAAGCACAAGTGCCAGTGCCGCTCGCGTGAACTGCATGAAATTTGCATTAATTTGCTTGGCCAAGCTCTTTCAAACAATTTCAGGGGCCAGCCGCACAATAAAATCCCCAATCCCGAAATTATTAAAAATTTCAAATAAATCACAAGTTTGACCAACATCCCCGCCTCTCGTTTCGCAAAACCAAAACGACAGCAGCTGCCGGCGAACATCGTGACCGACTGCCGCCGAGTTCAGTGTGTCAATCGAACTCGGCCTTTTGGCCGAGTGGCATTTACAGAGAAATCCGCTGACAAAAGCGCGCGCCTGAGCAGTCGACTCGAGTGGACTTGGAAAGACTCAAGAGCAAATGAGTGTGCCATTTGAGTGCGACTCGAAATTATGAGGAAAAACTCCGCTTACACCAATGTTTATTGCAGTGGCAGTCAAAAAAACGTAAAGGGGATGATTGCAAACTTGACTACCACCAGAAATTCACCTCAAAGTTTGGTTTTTGGAAAGAATAGTCGAAAAGCTTGACTTCATGTCTGTAAAACCAGAGAGGACATGTCAAATGTATCTTTTCTTGTATTATATACCTTAAATTCAAGATAAAAGCTTATTTTGGTAAGCAACTAAGCCGTTAAATATTTGCTTGCAAATTTATTTGTATTTTCATGACAAATATACAAATGTCATGCTGGAAGACAACACGAAAAATAATTTAAATCAATTTAAAATATAAACAGAAGTAAGTTTAGCTTGGATTAACACATAGGGAACACATTTTCCAAACTCTTGAATATTTAATACGCCGAATTCAGTTATCAATTGTAGTTTTTCGAACTTATCAAATTGACCTTCTGTTATCCGAGGAAAACACTTAAGCGGCAATTGGTCATTGACTGGGCGAAGGAATCTTCGACCCATCGGAATCCTTTAAGTCGAGTTGGTAGGCTCGACGAGAAACGCTAAGATGTTTGCTTAGCTGGCAGGAGACTTTAAACTTGGGGGAATTTGCATACATTAAGGGTGTTTTGTTATTTTGTTAGCAAAAGGCAATTCAAATCCTTTTACTTCCGCTTTAGGCAGCAACGACTACGGCAAAAGACAGATGCGACTGATAGCAGGATTCACATTCGCAACACCACCCATCGCCCCCCAGGTTTTCCTGGAGCCCCAACCCCTTCCTCTAGTTTTCCCAGCCGTATTTAACGGTGACGCGTGCGTAGCGTATAAAGAAAAATATGATTACATATTGTTGTATTTTGAATAGCTGGGGTAAGGGAATGGAAAAGGGTTGACATTCTTTTTTTAAGGCCGTGTCAGAAAGCGGAGCCCAGCCACTCAACGGCAATCAGCGCCAAATTCCGCACAGAAAACCATTTAGTCCAAGAATATTTTTGATTATAAGTAATATTTTCGTGTAAATATAAAACACAAGCAATGTAATGATTTCTAGTGTCCAGCATAGGGAATTTAAACCGGATAAAATCATATATACTACTTTTTTAAGGTCAAATTTTCAAATACTTTTTTTCGGTGCAGAAAACTTAAATTCAAATAGCCAACAACAACAGCCGATGCAACAACAAGGCAACAACAATGGCGGCATTCAATTTTTATACCCGTTTTTCGTAGAGTAAACGGGTCTACTGCATTTGTGGAAAAGTATGTAACAGATCGAAGGAAGCCTTTGTGACCCCATAAAGTATATAGATTCTTTATTAGGAATATCAGATGAATTTTAATCTTTAAGTAATATTTTTAAGGATTACCTTTAAAATAAACCCTCACAAACTTACTATGCACTTGTAAGTAAGTGTAAAGATATTTTATATAATTGTCAGTCTCTGATAGTCGTGGCACTTGACTACAGCGTTTTCTCTTGTTAATATTTGCCTTGCAAATTTTCTATAAAATGCATTTGTTCCCTTCAAGCCTCCTCCCCCGGGAATCGCGAACCCCCTCAAAATTGGTGGGCGGCAGAACCGGAGACCGATGACTGGCGGAGGACCCACTATCACCCACAACACCCGAAACTTTGAAACTGGAAAACTGGCAACAGGAAGCAGCCAGCGCCGGGCCAAAGTGGGAAAGTGAATGGAGCACGGCAATGTCAACACATGGAAATTGCAAGGACAACGTTAAAAAAAAGGGAAAAACTAAAAAAAGAAAACGAATAGCAGCAGCCACAGTAACTATAAACTGGAATGATATTGCCAACGAACATAACATAACAACACAGACAAAAATCAACCATAATTGTAAACGATTGGATTTTAATAAAATAAAAAATATATAAATATTCATTTGGGGTGTCCCATAAATCTCTTGGTTAAAAATACTTTTTTGTGCCTTAAAGAAAATGATAAATGGGAACTGTGTTGCTTTTTTAAAATAATTTTGGGGGACCAAGTTTGCACATGTTTTTATGAGTGCAACCAAATGGCAAAAACGGAGCTACTGAACCCAATAGGACCCAAGATAGCTCCTGGAATGAAGTTAGGCTGGGCCGGGCGGAAGCAATAAATTGGTAAGGTAAAAAGCTTGTCGCAAACGCAGACACCGGTAAAAAGCGGCACGCGAGGCCGAGACAGGCCCTTCATTTTTGCTCCACCATAAATCCGGAGGAGGAGTGAAATAGAGGTGCAAAAGGATGGTTTATTTCCCATGAGGTTCCAAATTAATACGTAATGTCTGCCATGCAAATACATAATTGACTTTAAATTTGTTTTGACAAGAACAAGTGGAAAACTTTGCTAACGTGATTGGAGAAAGAGAACCTGCAAGTTTTGAATCTTACATACATCATTTTAGCCAGCGGCTTTAAACTTGGTTTAAAATAGTTCAAAAACAATATCAAAACACCAGAGTTCAATAGGTGGTTGCTGTTATTTAAAAATGATGGTAACGGCTTGGTATTTTAACTATCTATTTGCTGTTGTCGCAGAAAACAATTATGTATTGTCTAATAATAATGAAATATTTATCGTATTTATACACATATTATATGTGTCTAAATAGTACATTACTTCAGCACTCTAGTACACATAAACTAAAAATATAAACATTATATGATTTTACTAAGATTAAATTATTACCAAAGAGACCTTTGGATGGTTTTAATATGTTTTTTTCAACATCATTTTGTCTGATGCATTAATCTTATTGGACTTTTTTTATAGCAACGCTGGTTATGTCAGCTTCCTTCAGCTCCTCATCGGTGGTGCCATTATAGATGTGTTTGAGATACAGATTAAAGTAATCTGTGTAGTTCATGGGCGTGGAAATTTGATGCTTTCGAACAGGAAGTCGCGGGGAAAGGGACAACATGCTTGCCCACTGTCCATCGCAGAGGTCATCGTAACGCAGCAGACCCACCTCGTGACCTCCTAAGTCGCCAGGCCCTCGGCACATGGGTTGCTGACCATCCCAGAGCTTAAGCACAAATTCACGGATCCATCTGGCCAAATAGAGAGCCCGACAGTCGCAGTGCCAGGGATTCTTGTCAAGCTTGACGGCGACCAGCTTTTCCAGGACATGTAGTGATCCGTAGGGCAAATACATAAGCTTATTGGAATCAATGCGACTAATAAACAAAAAAAGAATATTAGAAAATCCTCTAAAAAATTCACGAACTTTTACTCACAGTTTCTCGAGTTGTTTTAAGGGCTCAAAAGCTCTTTCATTGAAATTTTTGAGAACATTATTGTTGAGCAACAAAATCTTAAGATTACTCAATCCCTGAAAGTCATCGGCCTCCAAGGTTGTCAGATTATTGGAAAAAAATGTCAATCGTGTGAGGCCACTGACATTCAAGAAGAGATTAGCAGGAATGCTGGACATGGAGTTCTGACCCAAAAACAGTTCATTTAAGTTATTGAGCTCCACAAAGGCGTTGCCATCAATCTACCATAAAGCACAAGATATTATTATTGAATTATTTATTTCGAATCTCTTACATGACTTATCCGGTTCATGGTCAAGTCCAGAGTCACTAAGTTAACCAAGTTATTGAATATTGTTCCCGAGAGCGATGAGATGCGATTGTTGTGCAACGATAAAGTTCGCAGACTCTTTAGACCCACAAAGAACTCATCATGTATTTTGGCTAAAAAAAAATAATACACTTCTACAGCAGAAAACAATGATTTAAAAAAAGTATCTCACATATTTGATTCCATCCAAAGTCGAGGGTCTTTAACTTGGTCAGATATCGGATGCTGCCCGATTTAAGTTCAGTGATTTTGTTTCGGGACATGTCAAGTTCCTCCAGCATTAGCTGATCTCTTAGGAGATTGGGTGGAAAGTTCTGGATCTTATTGTCGCACATATTAATCACGGACAGCCTCTGGGCATGGTAGAAAATTGATTCGGGCAGCACGCCAATTTCGTTTTTGCTCAGATCCATGATATTTAAGTTACGCAGTTTCCAGAAGGTGCGATGATCAATATCCTCCAGTTGATTATTCTGAATGCGTAGGACCAGAAGGCTGTCCAGATCCTGGAACAAATCAAAGGGCAGAAAATCCAGCACATTGTTGGATAAATCCAGTTCCCTGAGCACCGTCAGTCCGCGAAAGGTGTCCTTGTGCAGAGTTGACAGGATGTTCCGAGAGAGATCTCTATGGGATTAGGAAAACATAAGAACCCGCAAATACTTTATAAAGGAATTATCCAACTCACATGTTGACCATGTTCATAGGGATCACTTGAGTGACTGGCACCGACTTCAGATTGGTGTTCCAGCAGGTGAAGCTCTTGGTATCCGGATTGCAGCGACAAACACCGGAGGTGCAGTGATTCCACTCGATCTGGCTGCCAGTGGCCAAGTGCCAGATGGGCTGCTCCACGGATCGGAGACGACTCTCGATCTGCCGCACACGCTTCACCAGATCGAAGTTGGCCAAGTGAGACAGCGCATTTACCTCCCCACTGTTTCCATCTCCATTGGTATGGCCATTCGCCTTGGGTTTCGAGGCTTTCCTATCGTTGGAAGCTGTTTGGGTTCCATTCGGCATCGAATTGATGAGCATTAGTAGTTGCGATACAATTCCAAGCGATTCACAGGCATTCAAAGTGCAGTTTCTGGTGTCCGAGGAGATGAGGGGCAGCAAATACTTCTGCCGGAATTCATCCAGACTTTGGCTGGACAGATCCTTGGTTTGCGGAGGTCCTGTGATGACCTCGGTCGGATCCATCAGCAGGATAATGCTAATCAGTTGCAAGACTCCCAGCGACATGGCTCCAGCGATATTTACCGACGTTCTAAGTCATTCGCCCAGATCTGCAGTCCCTTTTATAGTCCACATCATTCACCTATTCAACTCGTAATTCAAATAATTTGCGAAAATTTGCATTTTCTGCAATTACGCTTAAGTAGCTCCGAGGGAGCCGGCAAAATTGCAGCGTATCTTGCGTTCGCCCAGGTCTCACCGGGTAGAAAACTATGGACTCTCCGGAATCCCGAGCCCGGCTAGAAACCGAAAGTCTATGTTTGCACGCCGAACAATCAACCGAACGCCAAGCATTCTAAATTTAAATAATTAGCTGAAGAGCTCTGCTGGGGGAACCCCCAGAACGCTGATTCAAATGCCTTACGATTCGTAATTGGACAATGGAAAACAGATGCAGTTCCATTTTGTTATATAATCAACAACATATTTACATTCATCAATATCAGCGATGTCAGCCTATAAGCTGAAAAAAAAGGAAACTAATAATAAACTATTTAAATTTTTTTATTTGGATAGGATAAATCATGAGGAAAATGAAGAAAGGCGCCACCTAGCGAGCTATACAACCCTTCCCATTAACGATTTAAACGAGAACAGTTTGACAAAAACTATTCCTACTGCCAGAATCCACCCTTCCCAGTTTTCTAGAACTCAACATGTAGATGGAGCTTTGCGAGAACCACCCCAAGCGAAACAGCGGTTTATTATAATTCCCCCTAACTTTCTACGAGTATAAGACTAAAAGCTCTTCCTGGACTGACACCTTTCGAAAGCCAATTCCATGGGCTTGACGTGAAGCCTATCTGCCACAGTTTTGTACTTTTCCAGAAGAGTATTGGGATAAGGTAAGGCCCGTAAATCCTCCACGTATTTCATATGCATTCCCTCCAGCTCGCCAGGTAGCCGAATGGGCTCAGACTCATCCGCCTGCTGGCTGTTTTGAATGCAGCCACAAAAGTCATCCAGTCTCTCCACGAAGTCGGGCAAAAAGAACCCAGGATCGAGGGCGATAAACACTTGTCCAAGATTGGAGGGTTGGTTTTGATCCAGTGGAATGTGGGTTGCATATTGGGCGCCGGAGAGCACTCCGCACAGAAGATCAATCACGGCAGACAGGCAGTAGCCTTTGTGACCTCCGGCCGGGAAGAGCAGTGGGGACCTTAGCGCCACATTGGGAAGGCAGGTGGAGAGGCCTCTCTCATTGGCCGCCCAGCCATGGGGAATGTATTCATCGTTGTTCCAAGCCCACTCCACTGCTCCGATGTCCTTTACGCTAGTCGCCATATCCAGCACAAAGTGGTGATCTCTCCCCTTCACGCAGAAGGACAAGCAATTTGCCCCGATCGTGGCCGACTTGGAGTTGGGAGCCATCATTGTTGGAGCCGAGTTGGACATCACTAGTCCGGCAAGTCCATGGGCAACGGCACGAAAAGCATACCAGCTGGCCATTCCGAAGTGATGCGACTGCTGGGCCACCACGAAACCGATTCCCGCACTCTGAGCCTTCTTCACCGCCAGATCCATGCAAAAGTTTCCCACTACGACGCCCAGGGCTGAGTTCCCATTGACATGGGCAGTCGCCAGCGTCTCGCTGATTATCGAAGGCTCTGCATTCGCCTTGGCGTGGCCTTTTTGCAGATCGCTGAGGTAGAGATCCAGACGATTGATCCCGTTGCCGAAGTTCCCTCGATAGTCGGCCACCACCAGGAACTCGCTGATGCAGCGCACCTTGGACGGGGAAACTCCAACCCGCATCAGGCAGTCCTGGATGAAGCGACGCGCCTCGTCCACCAGAACAAGGGACGTGTCGCCCTGCTGCAGCGGAGTGGCAACTGGCATGTGATAGCCGCGAAGGCAGCCTCCAAACCAAAGAGCTGGCCGGAGGAGCGCCAACATTGTGAGGAACTGGTTGTCATCCAATAGAAAGATCTGTCTGGGGTTGCTGGGATAGTATATTTTCAAAAAAATCTTACGGGGAATCTGAATTACAATTTAAAAATTATTTAAAATAAAATTAACGTTTGACGTTTGAAGAACAAATTAGTTTTCAATATACACTTCAGTAAAAACATTTGAAAATGGTAACTAGAATATCAAAGTTATCTCAGAGCTCATTGAATCACTATAAAAAAAACTTTAATTCTTCATAATAATTTAATATTTTGTTAAACATTTCATTGGAAACTTTATGCATAAGTTATAAATAATTTTAAGCTTTATACTTTTGAAGCGCTATTGGTTAAGGGATAATAGACAGTAATTAATGGAATATAGTGCAGAGCTTGAGCTGAGCACTTAGTTCAAAGCAGTGGAGGTTAAAACGGCCACGCCTCGTTCGTAGAAGCTGTGCGAATCCTGTCCAGCAGCCACTGCCAAGTCCACAGTGAAAAGTAGCTCCGTGCGCGTTGAGTTCAAGTAAACCGGCAAGGTCAACTTGCTGATGCGCGGCTCCGAGGATATCCTAGTGAAAAGCGGAACATTAGTAAGGAATACTGTTGCACAAGATGATGCACTTACTTCATCCACTTGAGGATGGTCACGGGAAGGTCCATCATGATGGTGGAGGCCAGCAGCAGCTCGTTGTTCTTGCATTGAGCGCCCTGCAGCTTGAGACCAGTGACTCCGAAACAGCAATCCTTCTGATCAGTTTTGAGCCCAGCATCCGTGATGGTGACGTCCAGGGCGAGCTCCTCCAGCGACCAGCTATTCGCCTGGGCCACGCACTGCCTGGTGGCCGTGATGTAGGCCTCCGGGTTGAGCAGACCGCCCAGCCAGACGGGGAAGCCCTGCAGCTCCTTGGCGCCCGCCTGCGAGACGAGCTGGGAAACCTTCTGCAGCTGCTGCACTCGGTTGCTGAAGTCCGTGATCCACTGGATCACTGTGCAGCCCGCGGGAACAGTGTATCGCTTCCAGCCCTTCGGGATAATGCCGCGCACCAATTCCGACAGCATCGAGCGGTGATGGTTGGTCTGCTTCTTCTCGCCCTGACAGATGAGAACCACGTCCTGGAGGTCCAGGATCACCGTTTGCAGCAGCCGGGAGCCACTGGTCACCTCGCGCTCGAAGTACCGGTACAACGGATCCTTGATGTTTTCCACAGTGCGCTTGAGCACTTGCAAGTTCTTCGGGAGCAGCTCCAACCAAGCAGTTGCCGAGTTGTGAAGCGTCTTCATCCACGATGGGCGTCCATCCTCGCCGCGGCCCACTGCCGATTGCTCCGACTGATCCTCCACGCTGTAGGCGAGCTCATCGTCATCCTCCAGCTGCTGCATCTTGAGCAACTTGCTGACCAGGTCGGTTCCACGGGTGGTGAGAAGAACCTTCTCCGCGTTGTTGGGCAGTCCCAGCCACGAAGGAGTCTGGCGGTCCGTCAAGTTCTCAATCCACTTCAGGAAGTGATCGCGACGGGTGCCGTCGGGCATGGTGATGTGGCGGAGTCCTCCGGAGGCGCCATCCACGTTGGCCACCAGGGCAAAGTCCGCCTCGAAGCTGCGCGCGGTGAAGAGTTTCTTAAGGAAGGAAGTCAACAGGCGCTGATCGAAATCATTGTCGATCTTTCCACCGTAAATCGACTGCGAGAGCAGGGTGACCAGGGCATCCCATGGCACCTTCTCTGGCGGCAGATTGGTGCGGCCCATTGCCGTGGTGTCGATCCAAGTGTCCAATGTGTCGCAGGCCACGCGGAGATCCGATTCGTTGAACTCGTACTTCTTGGCCCAGCCGAGGGGCACATACCGGAGTCGCTCCTGGACGATGGCGTGGAACCAGGCCAGCAGGAAGTAGAGGCGAGCCCGTTCGCTGGGGGTCTTCATCATGCGAGCCGCCGGCACCGTGGAGAAGGTGCGCAGCAGGTTCGCCCGGATGCCCGGCGGTGGTTCGAAGACAAAGATGCGTCCAGCACGAAGCAGGTTGACCGGAACCTTTGGATTAATCTCCATGGTGAGGAAGAGTCGGAAGCCGGAGTGCGGCTGCAGCGAGTGCATCTTCTTCTCCAGCTGCACCAGCCACTGCGGTGCCAAGTGGACGTTCTTCAGCAGCACCCAGCGGCCGGTCTTGCAGGCCATGTTGATGGCCCTCTCCGCCTGGTTGAATCCTTCGGCGGAACCGATGGCAATGCTGGATATCTGCTTGTTCTGCTCCGCAGCCAGGTCATCCACACGTCCGGAGGCATCGAAGCCGGGCACCGAGCACAGAAGGGCCGGAGTGTTGCAGTTCAACTGCTTGTCCACCACGGCGGCGAAGTCCAGTTCCTGCTCGGCGTTGGGCATGAAATCCTCTCCGAGCACAGTGTTCACCACGTTGTGGGCGGCGGCGATGACGCGGTCCGGTCGGAAGGCCTGGATCAGCAGCAGCTGGTGCACGGAGCTGGCAATCGGGCTGAGCGCCTTCGACTCGTCCCACAGCTGGGGAACAACCTGTTCCGGGGAGCTCTGCTGCAACCAGGCGCCCAGTTCGGGCATGGCGCGCACCTTCTCCAGAAGTTTTCGGAAGATGGGCAGGCGAGTGGCCAGGCGGTTGACGCTCTCGATTTGCTCGGCGGACAGACCGTCCACGGGAGTGGGGTTGGCCAGCAGACCCTCTCGGCTGCGAAGGAAGAAGTTGAACTCGGCATCCAGATTGGACTCCGACGTGCCCTTCAGGTGGATCTTGCACATGAGCAGGGCGAAAGTCAGGCGATCGTTGTGGATCATTCCACGGGCCACTCGCTCGTAGCAGACCTGGAACAGATCCCTGGTCACAATGCCCAATCGCTCCGAGTGATCGGTTCTGCCCTCCAGCTTAGTGTTGTTATACAGCACCGTTGAGAAAATATCGAGGAACATTTTCAGGGAGTACTGGTAGAGGAAGTGCACCTGGTTCAGGCTGTCCATGGTGAAGTAGATGTTGCTGCAGGCCACCGAGAGTGGCAGGTACTGCTGCGACACCGTTTCGATCTCGGCTATGACCTTGTCCGTTTCGTCCACCTTCTGGTTAATGTCGTAGGCCTCCTTTTTGAGCGTCTCCAGCGTGGTAATCACCGAGTCGTCGTCCAAGATCTTGCCCTTGGCGTCGTTGAGCGCCTGCAAGAGACTCTTCTCCAACTGGCGCAAACGCAAGCGGAACTCGCCCTGCAGCTTCAGCAGATCGGAGCGCTTCTCGTCGATGTCCGGGCGCTCAGCCTTCAGCACTTGGTTGAGGCACTGCGACTGCAGGGAGCTGCGCGTCACGGTAAAGTTCACGAACGTAACCCTGGAGCAGATGTCTGGCGGGAACTCCACAGTGGGATCACGTGTGGACAGGAAGATGACGAAGGAAGGCGACAGATCAATGTCCTGGTCGCCGAGGGTGATCAGCACACGTCCACCGGTGCGACGCAGCTCGCGGTTCAGCACCGGGTTGAGGATAGGATCGTAGTTCTCCACATCCTGAACGAGCAGAGGGTTGCCGAATCGAAGGGCGGACTCCAGATTCTTGCGGAACGAATCGTCCAGGAAGGAGGTCTTGGTGATCTTCTTGCCCGCGTACTCATTGAGCAGGAAAGTGGTGGCCTGACCCGAGGGATCGATGATCAGCGGATAGCGGTTGAACCGCTTCAGCATGATGGCATTCTCCGTGCACAGGTCATCCGTGGGCAAAGCATTCGCCTGCCAGCGGAGTCGCTCGTCGGGATTGGAAAGGTATTCGGTGCGAGCGATGTCCGCGCGGTATTGAATGCTGGCCGCCTGCAGATGCTGTGACCAGGTGGTGAACAAGTTCAACCGATAATGCTGATCGAAGTAGCCACCGTAGGCGATGAAGGCGGCCGAGAGCAGCACATCGCCCACAATGGTGGACATCTGCGACTTGAAGGTCTCGCTGGTGGACTCCCAGCGTTCGCGTTCGATGTTCAAGCTCTTGAGCAGAGCAATGGAGCGATCCACCTTGGCCTGGACATTCTCCAGATCCGTTTTGATGGCCTGAGCCTGGGAAATGAGCTGGGCGTACTCCTCCTTGTAGGCGGCAATACTGCGCTCCAGTTGCTCCACCAAGTCCTTGGTTTCCTTGGCACTGGCCAGGTTTACATCGGCCTGCTCCTCCAGGGAGCGCAGCTCCTCGCGCAGTGGTTCCACACGCTTCAACATGTCGGCGTACTCGATCTGATTTAAAATGGATTTCAAAGAAAATTCTCTTTCGACTTCAAATCAATCTCACCTGAGCAATTGCCCATTTGACCATAGGACCACAAGCCATACTGGCGCGGTTAACTTTTTCGAAGTTGTAGTCCGGATTGCTCAGATACTTGGACTTCATCTTCTCGCGTACATCATCGCTAGTTTACAACAATTGACAATTAGTTCGCTATGAAGCCCCAAGTTCAGTAAGTTATTTGAATGAATTAAGCAAGCAAAGCAGTCGAATTACTATGAAACAGCGATAAATTTGACCAAAAACCAAATTAAACTAAAAAGTTAGAGCCAATAACCAAAGTAAAGTCATAGGAAAGTTCAAATATTTACAAACCATAAGGCAGCTCGCTTGAACAATTCAAAATAGAACTACAAAAGTAACGAAATCAACTCAAATGAAAACCAGTTTCTACACTCAAAACTATTTAGCATAACATCAAAAACATCAACAAGAACAAGTATTAAAGTCGGGAACAAAATGGATGTTGGTAAAAATTTGTTCATGCTTACGTTATGTTTTCGGTACCGAAGTTAGATACAATTGAATTTATGAAATTTTCTCGCATTATCACTGCGCGGATCGACTTCCAATCGGTCGCATTTTCGCCCAGCAGCAGGCAGATCGATTCGAGAGCCAATTTGACCACCGAAGGCGGATTAGCCATGGTTCGCACCTCAACGAGCTGTTGCTTGCGGATCGACTTGACCGCTGCACATCGTCGGTTAGTTGATTGATTGATCGGTTGGTTG